CAGCAAGAGAATAGGTCCAGGAACTAGATGAGCTAAGCTGGAGTGCTTAACAAAACACCGTGCCCGCGAGGATTACGTTCAAGCCAAATTGTGTGTACTGCTGTTTAGAAAACGATTCTGAGAAGAGCAAGTGGTACCTTTGATGGGAGAGGAGTGATAAAATTAGGTCTTGAATGGCGTAGCAGATAAAAGGCAGATGGTACGCATAACGGGATAACTGCTTTTTTTCACCATTCACAAGTATTTTATATTTAAACAAATTTTTTTTAAAAATAAATAAAAATTAAATATGATCTGCATACAGATCATAATTACAAAGGAAAAGTAATGATCTACTTACAACAGCTGAACGCTTCATTTTGATGCGTATCATGTCTAAATTGCCTTCTTATTTAATATTTTATTAAATAAATACTGCTGTAATAATAAACACATAAATATTATATATTTAACATACCACTCTAAAACTTATTTGTTAAAAATAAAATAAAACAACTTAAATTCATAAAATTAATATATACTGTTTAAATCACAAAGTTTTCATAATAAAATTATTCAAAGTTTTCTTACAATTATTAGTTTAAATATTATTTTTGCTCCACTATTCTAAGTTTTCTTATAAATATTTCTTTAAAGATTTTTTTATTTATTTATAATAGTTTACTAATTTAATGCATTACAAATATTGTACTTATTAATTTTACTTTCATGATTATTACACACCACTTACAGTAAAACCTCCATAAATTAATAAACACTATAAAGTAATAATTTTTGCTGGTCCTCAGTCGGGCTAGTGTAAAAATGATCCAAATTCGATAAGATAATACATTTTTTTGAAATCCCTATGTAAATATAGTCCCAACAATATCATAAATTAATAATCACTATATATATACTCTAAATATATACAGTATATGATATAAGTAGTTATGTTAAAATATGCTTTTAGTTTTTTCAAAAAATGAATTTTTTCTCCTCGAGCTCATCTCTATAAAAAAGTATTTATGTTATATTTTTAAACTATAATATTATAATATACTCTATAACATCATAAAATAACCAAATTTTTTTATGTTTTCTATTTATAAATATGCATCATATTCATTTTTTTTTTTGTTTTATAGGCTGTTAGAAGATAACAGTTGAGGTATTAATCATAAATTTGTATTTATGTATATACTTTGTATATAAGTGAATTTATTAATAATATTTTTAATTCATTTTTAAATTGTTTTTCTAAATATAGAATTCAATTCCAAACTATACAATTTTTATATAATCTTAAAGATTAATCTTATTTTGTAAAAAATTGTCTAATTCTTAATTTCAAAATACTTCAAGACTTAAAGATACCACTATAAATTAATAATTATTAATTTACACTATAAAATAATAAATATTAATTTATAGATAAATTAATATCACTATAAATTAATAAAATTCTGTAGTCCCACCAATATTAATTTATAGAGGTTTTACTGTATGTTGTAACATAATGTTATTATATTATATGTTGTAAATATTAGTTTTAATTTAATGCATCTAAAAAATTCTCTTAAATTAATAACATTAGATGTTTACAAATTTACAATATAAAATTCAAAATAAAGTAATTTCTCATCATTATTATGATTTTCATATATAAAAAATTCAATAAAATCAATATTTTTTAATTTACACCTATTTGATTGGTTTTCACCATTCAATTTATACATTGTAGCGGTTGAACCACTTGATCTGCACTTGTACCGCCAAATCTGCTTGATCTGCTTTTGTTCTGCTTGATCTGCTTGAACCGCTTGATCTGCACTGCTCAATACGCTTTCTTCATTCGAAGCCTTAGAATGAAACAAGTAGAGTAACCAAATGCTCATTTTCTATCAAATCCTTTTTTAAGCTAAATGGATATTATTGTCTATTAATAGTTGACTATGTTGTAATCTTGGTCAAGGTTTCTTTCTTCTAGTGCACTGCACTAATTTAACAACAGAGATATATTACTATTAACCAAATGCTCTGGAAACTTTTTTTATACTTGAACTTTTGTGACACACGATAAACTAACATTTTCTCTTTGCTAAATTAATTTACAGCCCATTACTTTTTTTATTACCAAAATAACACAAGCCCAACTTCTACTTCTTATTGACTTGGTGTTCCTTCTCCTTTGTCATTGATTTCATTGTCAGAGATTTTCAATTTTTTTTTTGAATAATTAAAAGATTCTAGGCGGAAACTCATATATCCCCTCAAACCCGACACCAAAATATGTTATATAATCTCGTTTCAAGCGCTAGTTATTTAAACCAACGAACTTTATGCTTTTACCAAAGATTTTTACCTATTAAGCTTTTAACATTTGATAAATTTATTTAATCACTATTTCCTAGTTTTTCTTATTTCTTTTGTCTAAAAAAAACCCCTCAAATAACATCAAAGATACGTCCGGTTATCATAGATTTGTTCTCTCCAATAAGCTTTTAGGCTGGGTTAGTAGTGTGACTTGGTTAAAAGAAATGTATTATTAGTGATAGGTAACTATTGGCCAGCTCGTGCAACACGTCGTCGGGCCAAATTTTATTGATGAACCCCTTAATGGGCCGGGCCACAAAAACCCAGATGAACAGAAACCAAAGCAAACGGAAACCTAAAAACCGCCGGCGCCGGAGAAACGACTCGTGTCGTATTGACACCGCGAGCAAAGAGTCAGACCATTAGGACCGGTGGATGCGAGGACCACGGCTTTGCAAACCACCGAGAGATCAAGAAGCGTAAAGGAAGCATCCAACTCCGGTGCCGCTTCTTCACCCTCGATCTATCGACCCGCCACAAACCTCCCGATATGGCCAACCTCTGACAACGCAGCACTTTGTTGACACTCCCAGACCAAGCAAGCAGCCAACTTCGGACATAACCTCACCTCTCTTGAAGCCGGCGAGTCTCCAATCGCTTTACCAAAACTCCTCGAACCGACCCGGAGAAAGCAAATCGCGGCGGCGACTAGGGCCGACGGCTCAATCGGAAGCCCAGACGCGAAGACTCCGCGACGGCCGGCAAGATCCAGAAAGGATCCGCCGTTAATCTCCAAGGCGCTTCAGCCACCCACCATCTCCTCCTTTGGCTTCCGCCGTTGATCCATCGCCGAGACAACGAGCGAGCCACGAGGCAGCTGCTACACCTGCCGACTCCCTCTTATCGGAGGTCTGTAGCACCGCACTCTAACCACCACCCCGGGTCTAGATCTACGCCAAAGAAGAAGAAAAAACCTCACCCAAGCCGACGGGGAGGAGAGTTGGCTGTCTCTGCAACACACTGAATCTTGTGGGATTGAAAACCAAGGCCTCGAGAGATCGGATCTGAGATTTGTTTGAAAGCCTTCTAGGAAAGAGAAGAGAGAGTTTCGTGGAACGATTGTCCTTTGTGGGGTCTCTCTTTTGCTTATTCGTCGTTATTTCAAGCTTGCAACAAGAATATATCAAGAATCCTAAGTTCTTTTTTGTAGTTAACTAAAGATTATTTAGTTTTATAGGTAAAGTCTCCGTAACTTTTTAGTAAATCCATGCACATTTACATGTCCCCAAGCCCTGCACTTCATTTGATGCAGTTCCTCGTGCCATTTTTCTCACAACTTCTTTGTTGTCAACAAAGTTTTACAAAATATTTTCATTTCATTTTGATATATAATATAATTTGCCTATTTCTAGTTCAAAAATATTACTAATCTAGAAAAAAACAAAAATTAAGAATACTTTCCTATCACTTTATTGATTAAATGCTAATGACATATATATCATGTTTTTTTTTTTTTTTAAACCTTTGACATATGGAAGTCTCCATGTTCTAATTGTTGACCAAGGGTTTAGTAATGCTTTTACACCAAGAAGTTTAAGGTTGGAGTCTCAAATATTACGATTTATTAATAACTATGCATATTAAAGGAGGAACGTTTACCATAAATTTCTTGTGCGTAATTAGAGCCGTTCGCCGTGACCCTAGCTATTGAAAGAGAAGAAAGTGGTTAAGACCAGCATAGACTCTAGTTAGTAGTGAATCTAATAGGATCGGAAAAAATTTGTCGAGAGTATTTTTATCTTTTGTAATAATTCTTATAATTTGTAATAACTAATAAATGTTAGATGATAGAAAAAACCCCTTGCATATGATGTTTACAAGGGAAAACGGGGAAAATCAACCCAAACTATTCTCCGAAGGTATTTTGATACCCAAACTCGCGTACTCTGAATTTTACAACTCAAATCAACTTTTAATTCAAATAACCAACCTGAACCATATCAAATTTTGTCGATTTCAACCTCGACGTTAACAATATCCCTGCCCATCTTGAAGATTTGGAAAATCAAGCTTAATCTTATGTAAAAACCAAGTCCAGTTCTCTTGGTTTTTACAGAAGCTTAAGCTTGATTGTCCAAATCTTCAAGATGGGCAGGGATTTGAGGTTGAAATCGACAAAAAATGATGTAGTTCAGGTTGGTTATTTGAATTGAAAGCTGGTTTAGGTTGTAAAATTCAGAGGACGTGAATTTAGGTATGAAAATACCTTCGGGAAATAGTTTGGGTTGATTTTCCCCGTTTTCCCATGTTTACAAATAACATTATTATAATTCTGATAAAAACTATTTAACATATCATATCTGGACTACTAAATAACCCTATAAGATACTATGTAAAAGATGGGATTTTCTCACCTATGCGTCATTGTGTCTGAAAGCCATTTTTTTGTTTTTGTTTCGAAGAAGACAATATATATATGATATCATATTGGGGTAATAAAGATGCACCTAGAAGTACTAATAATATTCTTTTTGTTATTACTAGGCGACAGAAACTGTGCCCTTTTGACTCGGGTCTTTGCTCTTTACCTCTCGATAAGACCAAAATAAGAAACTCAATATTGAGCCTTTTGACTCCCATGTATGTATCTCTTATTCCAAAACTAAAAGAGAAAGAGAACTTGGAACAATCTATCTTTGATAACCATGATGCGCGTCACAACTATAGTTATAGCTTTCCTTTTGATTATTCAATCCCTAGAAGAGGAACATGTCCTAGTCTATGCTCATGAAGGTGCCTTTACATAAAGATATCCCTAATTCTTCCATATATTTTTTTCTTCTTCTGATGAATAGCTACTAATAACTTTTCTTCATAGGCAGAGAAGCTGGCCACAAGAGTCTTGCCTACCATAGAGATCAAGATTCATCGAAACAACATCCTCAAGTAATAATACATTTATTTTAAATCAGTCTTTCTCAAAATAACTTTTTATGAAATACATTATATGAATTTTATACACCATAATAGGTTTTATACGAATTTGCACCGAGGAAACTAAGATCGGGAAGAACAACAAGAGCCGAGAAGAAACAAGAGACCGCGAACAATAATACTTGGAGTTTCAAGATGTTAGCTGCATCAAAGGATTTGACGGCTGGTCGTAAATTAGGGTTTCACAAAAGAAGTAAGAGTTCTTCATTTAAATGGAAACCCAAGAAGAAAAAATCTTCTAGTCCATTTGTAGCTTTCTATGATGATTATCATGGACCAGCACGACATCCTCCTAGGCATAACTTATAATCACAGCGAACAATATACAATTTTGTAATATTTTGTAGCATTTTGTGTATTCTCTTTAATTGGTTTTATTCTTATGCTTCAGTAATCATTTTAGTTGTTTGTAAAAAAAATACACTTGTTTTATCCTTTATAAAAAAGACCTTTATTTTTATTCTAAAATGTTTGGTTAACATCTCTTTCATTCTAGATATGTTTTGGCTTTACTGCAGGAGAGCATAAGGAGACCAATGTATTGGCAGATCATGACACCACTAAGGTTTGTCTTGTAATCCTTCTTTGAAGACTCATAGATTTAGTCTTCTTCTTATCCGATCCTTTCATACATAACTTCATTTTTACAGCATACATCTTGTAAGAAGACGATGACCATAGTCAATGACCTCGCCAATCGTAATAGTCTTTCAAGACTTGAACCATCTACTTCAGCCAAGGATATAAAGAAACTGGCTCGATTCTTACGCAGTGATTATCCAACTCGTGGTAAGCCTCGACGCGAGCCTCCAATCAATAATCGAGCTCCTGACATGGTCTAAATAATTGTGGATCGGTTGAACAAAGATATTGAGTTACTTATATAAGTATAATGATAAATTTTGTTGGTCGTCCTAGTTTTGTTTCTATGTCTAGGGACATATATACCATCTTGTGTACGTTGTGATCAATGTAATAGTTGCTTAGTATTTATGAGATCTCTCTTTCGTTTCTTTGGTTTGTAATCAGTTTTGTAATATCCTTAGTCATCATCACTTATATAAAGCTATATATTGACCTTATTTTTGTACATGTAAACACTAATTGATCATTCAAGTCAATGTAAAAAAAAATGCAAATCTAAGGAACTCTGTATATCGAAATTGCATAGTTTGTAATTGATGTTACTAAAATGTGAAAAAACATATTTATGGAAGTTAAAACAAACGCCCACCGTGGGGCTCGAACCTACGACCACAAGTTTAAGAGCCTTGCGCTCTACCAACTGAGCTAGACGGGCTAATTGGTAAACTATATATCTAGAGAACCATAGATTACATAATTTATTATAAACTATAGTGTGAACTTTGTATTTTTATTTCTGAATAACATTTATAGTGTAACATTTTCTTTTAACATAAAGATCTAATAGACATTTGGAGTTAGAAAGATGAGAAACAGTTAAATATATGTTTGAAGCCTAGTAGTCATTATTTAGCAGAAACTGGATGGGCAGCACTATTGAGTTCCTTTGAAGTTGTCCCACAACCTTCAAGATCGAGATTTAATGGTTCTTGTTTGGTTACTGGTGCAGACTTGTCCTTGCTTTTGCCCCATAAAAGTATATAAAGTCCCACGATGATGACCACTGATCCTATCACACTTTTTTGCCATACCACATTTATATACTTCATTTGTCAGAAATTATTAGTAAACAAAAGTCAAAAAGAACCATTTAATATCAACTGTTAGGTGAAAAAGAAACACATATACAATTAGCTTTCCCATTTGTGTAATCATTTCTAGATTCATAGTTAATCTGTTTTAATTCATATATAATACATCGATCAAAGGTATATATCACAAAGATTAAAAGGTCTTTTATAGGTCTTTAGTAGGTGTTTTATAGGTCTTAATCATATTCTATAAAGTTAAGAGAATTTTTAAATTTGTGTTATACAAATTGATACAACAAAAACTCAAAACTCAAAAGCTACGTACGTAGATGAAAGGGTCTTTAAATATAGGCATCTCTACTAGTCAGTCGATATTTAAATATGTATTATGATGCGTTTGATCTTATTAATATAGTTTTTTTTTTGTAACGTACGTTGTTCCATCAATTGTTTTTTCTTTCTTTTGGTTTAAAATATTAGATTTATAAAAAAGATTAGCATATAAAATCATATTAAAGAAGTAGAACAAAGTATTAGGTTACCTTCCACAGTAGATTTGTTCATGAAGAAAAGAGAAGCTGAAAATGGCAGCAAAGACTTGAATCAAAGGTATGAAGCTGGACGTGAATACCGGACCTCTTTGCCGGAGACACCACGACATTCCCACGTAGCACAATCCCGATCCAACGATACCCTAAAGCCGTGGCGGATTCAGAAAAAAATACTTTAACCGGAAATCATAAGATAGAAAAAACCTAGATATGAATATGAAGAAAAAAGCTTTATATGTTAGCATAACTTATATATAATACATTTGGTATTTTAGTTATAAATAGTAAATTGAATTACTTACCGAATAAAGTAAAGATAAAACTTGGAACCTATCTTTAACGACCCACATAGATATACTCCTCTCCGAGATCAAACTCAACAAACCAGATTGGATCACACCAAAGAAAGAGAGGATCGTGGTGCTAGTGTATTGGCATGGATAAACCATGCTTATTTTAGCTTGAACAATGAACCAAGAAGACCATATTATGATCGATATAAATAGCATGATCGAACCCATTGCCCACTTTTGCGTCATTGCACCGGTTGAATCAGTTCTTGTTTGTGTTTGCATATGAGTACCGTGATCTGGAGTTAAAGTGGCTCCTTTGTAAAGTGTAAGCACTAAAGCTCCACAAATACATATCATTGTGCCTAATACTTTGGCTCTTCCTACGTTGGTCTTGATGTTCAGCGTCTCTTGCCTAATCATATAGTTTATAAAAGATAATAATATATAGAGAAAAAGAAAGAAGAATAAATCGATTTCGTTACCTAAAGACGAGAGCCAACGCGAAGGTGACTGAAGGAACCATGTTGCTAAAGGCTAAGGAAAAAGTAGAAGATGTATAGTCAAGTCCAATAAGAAAGAAGTATTGCACCAAACTTGTCCTGCAAATTTGTAAGTGATCAAGATCAAAGTAAACATATGGAAACTTATCAGGACCAGTCTATTAAAGATAAACTTACCCGAGAAGAGCGCTAAAGAAGAGTGAACACAAGATCCTACCGGTTAATTTTGGCCGGTTATGTCTACAAAAGGAGAAAAAATATTGTTAGAACACTTTTAGATGGAATACGAATATATGATGAATATGAAAAAAGATTGAAAACAACAAGTAACTAGAAACTTGGATAAACAAGACAACCATTTATCTTTTAAAGAGAATATTTAAACCAAAATGAAAAGTTCAAAGATTATGACAAATCAAGAAAACCATGAAAAGATTTGATAATAAGTTGAATTTTTTAAAACTAAGAAAACAAGTATTGACTAGATTGAAATCACGGTTAATTAGACCGCGAAAATCCAAAGTATAGAAAAACAAAAGAGGTTTTATTAAAATTTGATGGGAAGAAATATAAAACTCGTAAAGGCGAGATTTGATCTCTTTGTTAGAAACATAGTCCCAACAACCCTAACTGAATATACATAAACACATACCTTTCCAAGAAAATCGCGATTGGTGTCAAGAACAGAGTTCCTGCGGCAAGCCTATAAGTGGTAGCGACCATACGGTTAATTCCTTGCTCAATCATCTTCTTGAACATAACATTAACAACACTAAGAGCAATGTTAATTATAGACATCATAAACACAGCTTTCCATAGTTTTGTATCAAACTTCACCATAGTTATGTGTAATTTGTCTCTCTATCTATACACTTGTCTTTATGTAGTTTTCAGAAGTTGGTAAGCAATAAAGATTTGTTGAGGGTGTGACTATATATTGCGACTCAAGTAATGCTCAGAATCGTATCATTATCGCATTTATCTTTTAACTAATCGTATTGTGCTTTGAACTTAGCTTTTTATTTTTTGTTGCCATTGTTGATTACACTATTCATGACCATAAAGATAGAGAGAGAGAGTTAATTAATGGAAGCACCCCTAGCTTCCATCATTGCAAGGGTGACATCATACACAGACATTAATCAGATCAAATCTAAAAGTAAATATATTTATTATACTCATTAGTAAGATTACATGAACAAGTAGATTAATAGTTAGTAAATATAATATTATTTAGCTTGTTATTTCTTTTTTCTTAATTTGTACCCTACAATTGGGATACTCGCAAAGAAAGTGAAAGACATACTTTTTGTATAATTTTGAGTGGTGTGTTTAGGTCATAACGAAAAATGTTCCTAGTAAAAATATCAGTAAAACCAATTGTAGATAATACCAATTAAATTGAACAAAATAAAGAAACCAACAACTAGTTCATATAATTTTGTAAGAATTTTCTTTTTATCAATATAAATTCTGAGAAATACTGTTTTTTATTTATATTAAACATGCGTGTTATTTTCTATGCGGATGTCTTTTCCCCAAAGATATCTAAATTATCATACGGAGATTATGATTTTTCTTCTACCATTTCATCATCTATGCTGATATAATTAATGCATTACGTAAGTAAATTAATAACTTCGTCGTATGCGCATATATAATTAAGACAAATTTTATTGAGATTCAATTATTATCTAACACAATAATAGAGATTTTTATGTATATACATCTATCAATTAGGCATGTTAATTGCACCCATCATCATGGAGAAAAGTTTCACACATTTTTAAAGTAATAAGGCATTTTTCATTTACTTAATTAACTCTACAATTTAGTTGTCCCCAAATCCAATATATATATATATATATAATCCAAATAAAAACAATTATCTAATAAGATAAGTATATAGAATAATATCCTATCAAGAAGCACGTTTTTAATTTCATTTAGTTTCGCTTTCTGTAGAGCCAACTGAATTAATTCTGTAATTTGGAATAAGTATGTTAATCAGCATTTCAAGTCAGCAACGTGAAGGACTTAGTTTCTATTTTGAAAGTTGGCGTGTATGGCTGTCAAAGAACCATATTTTGATACAAGATTCTCAATTGAAAAAGTAGAGATCTGATCAGACAATAAGAAGCATCTATACTTTCTTTCTTCTTTGAAATATTTTATACATGTCATCATGTATAAAAATAATATATATATATAAAGATTTTGACAAGAGTTTTCAAATTTTGAAATGGAGGTAAGCATAATGCGTCAAATCCTGTCGCAAAATGGGATGCTTAATGCTTAGCTCTAAGTATCTTTCATTTGTTTATTTGTTTATTCGGTTTCTTTACGTTTCTTTGACATGAACTTTTTTTATTACTAATTATTTTTGGAAAACTATACAAAAAGACCACTCTTGTGGCCTAGAGGTATTTGGACATGGGACAAGGGATAAACTCGCGCTTCTCATGATTCAAATAATGCTAGAAACAAGAATAATTTGGATGGTTGTGTTGTTTGGTATCTAGAAAGCTTTTGCCAAGCTAAGTTGAACCAGATCCCTCCAGTTCGATATGATGTCGGGAACCAGTTGAAATACTGATGGGCTAAGTTCTTTTTTTGTCCTGAAGGTGGTAGGCGAATGGTAGGTCAGCATGGGTGAAAGGTTGAAACTCCCACACCCCAAGTTCGATCTTCCTCCTTTCCTGTTAACAATATCTTGTTAGAAAATCTGTCACATGTATTTAAGCCAATTAATTTATTTAGTAGTCAGAAATACATGCGATTTGATTACTTTTCGTATAAATCGACAAACATACAAAATTTGGGTTAGGTAATATAATAATCCAACACTTAGATATTAACGATGAATACATGTAGTAGCATTTTGATATGTTCCCATCAAACTGACCGGATTACCGATGGTTATATTAAAACAAAACAAAGAAATTTTCTACTCAACTTCCTCACCGGCTAAAACTAATCGGACTGTTTAGGTCTGCTGTGATTAGACAATGTTCTAGTCTTGTAACCTAATTTGATGCTGAATAGGATCACCCACAATTATTTTAAAAATGCTTATAATATTATTACAAGTTGACGACGTATATGCTCCTGACTGAGACGTCCGGTGGCAGTACGTAAAGCAACCTTCTCCATACAACTGGTCACATCCTATGCGGTTGCATTCCCATGATTATATATAGAGATATACACCTCTAGAGTGTCTTTGTTGAATTCTTGGTCTTTCTTTAGAATAGAGAAGCATGCCTAATTAAACGGGTTAATCGATTCTTTCAGTCGTCATCGCGATTAAATATCGAGATAGTATAGTATAATCCTTTGATACTAAAACGTAAATTTATAAGTTAAAGTTTAAACCATACGTTTCTCAAATTTAAACGGGTCACACTACGTACTTCTTCAAATTTATAAGCATGTATAACTTAATACTAGTTGGGAAACAAAAATCATTTGAAAGACTTGGGACATAACAAAGTTTACAACGTCTACCAAAATTTGATACTTTTAGATGTCCGAAAACTCGTTTTCTGCATGTGTGTTTTTTTTTAAATGTTAATGTTATCTTAATCAAACATAATATCAACATCATCAACACTAGCTGTTTTTTTTTTTTTTTATATAACTCAGTGTAAATCTCTAAACCTATGAAAGGATCCAAAACTAATCCCTGGACAGAGGGTATCTCACGGGTAAGATTTCCCAGTTTTTCAAATGAACCTTAAGTAAGAAGTCTATACCCATGTGAACAAAGAGATAAAGTTAGTAATTCTGCGTCTGGAGATAATCGATCCCTACTCTAATTAACCAACAAGACGACTCTTCCACTAGACTAAAACCACTAGCTCGCCACCTCGTGGTTAAAAATGTTACTACTAGCTGTTGTAATCATTTTTTTTTTCGAGGGCTAGTAGCGATCCAATATGTTACTACTAGTAAACTTTAGCCATTAGCTTGTTATACAATCGAATGAAACGGTACTTTGGTTATAACTTATCTGATAATGTTATGGACGCATATGAACCGGTCAATAAGCTTTTCCTTATTTAAAATCACATTTTTTAAACATGTGAACGTGTTCCAATTTAATAGTTCAAGAACTAGAGAAGACAGAAAGTATATACACTTTTTTGCACTCTTAAGGGTTGAATTTGTGGCCACGTAAAAATATCCATTTTTCATCTTTTAAATGTTTCTATATGCTATATTCTTTTAGAGTTTATTTTTTCTTATAAAAGTTTCAGAACGTGATATGTCATATATATTCTATAACCATCGTTTCATAATTTCTTTTGTTTTGACCAAATATGCATTGCCAATAATACTGTAAAAAACAAAAAAAAAACTAAAGAATAAATCGTGTAAGAAAATAAAATCGCCAAAAAATAGATCGAGAACAAATAAAAATTTGTATTGTTACATATATGTGTATATATATAATTTATAAATTGACGCCCCCTCAAATAAAGCCGCCATCGACACTATAGATCAAGTTGAGATGAAATTGACTAATGTTTTATACTATTTATTGATATTATTATATGAAAGAATAGAAATATGATATAGATAACTATAAGATAATTTGCAATAAAATATAAATTAAGAGTTAAAAAAAAACTGCAGTAGATAACTATAAGATGAATGGAGTATATGACAAGACTAGAAATAAATTGAATATGGCACCGTAATTTTATTTTAAATATATACCATAAATTTATATTTTCTTTACTATATTATTTTATTTTTCATTTGATAATCCATTCTTTATTCATTATAATTTTACTATATTGATATATCATGGGTTTTACTGATTTTTGGCCATGATAAAAATCGTATCTATAAAGTCTTTATGTTATTTCTCTAGTCTTATAGAGTCTTTGCAGGTTAAGGTATGTATTGGACTTATTTCGAGTTTTGGAGCATTTGAGAGCATATGCAGAAGATGTGCCGAAGAAACGTGCTCAGAGAGATATCTGGTGTGAGTGTCGATAGATACTTCCCCGGTGTCGGTCGACACAAATATCTGACAGTAATTAATATTCTAGAGTAGTTGAAGTTACGAAGATTTGTAGATTTTGCCCAGACGTTTATCTTTTTGGCAATTTAGGCCTAAGTCGTATGTTAGACATATATATTGAGGTTTTAGGTTTTTGTGAAGATTTAAGCTTGATTTTGGAGGGAGAGACTTGTAAAGAGCTTAAAGAGAAGAATCATCAACTCCTTTAGAGAAGATTTAGAGCTCATTTATTTCTTCTATTATTTTCTTATTGATATCTATTTTATTCATGATGTTTGTTTCATTCACCATGATTGAGTAGATTTCTAGTTAGGTTTACGGTTTTCAAAGGAGTTAATGAATTGTTAAATTGTTAGATTGTTATGATTGAATCAATAAAGTTCTTCATCTATATTGTGGTTAAGTTATTCTAGAGTAGCGGAAGCAACATAGAACCCGATCTTAGGTTAACTGATACACACAAAATTATTATTGATTTCTTGAATAGAATATTCGATGAGCAAAATACTCATTCGCAAAGGAATATGATTTAGGATTTTGTGAACTTATCAAACCTCAACTTAATGCTTACATGCACCTTTAAAATTTCACAAGAATTTGAAAAATTTAGGGTTTCAAACATAAATAGTCTCTACTACGGAAGTTGCTTGAGTATAATTTTGTGATTTCGGTTAAAGAATAGTTTAGTATGAAATGTTTTGATTACTTTCGAGTTCAATTTGCAGTATTTCTTTTAATAAGGTGAAAATCTTATCCAAACATTTGATGTGTCTTTTCATTGTGTACAATTATAATTATAATTTATTTTAAGGATTCAAATGTGCGGTCATTACAATAAAATCGTGTTTTCGTAGCGTCCGTTTAATGCTCGATCATCGCCTGTTATAGTAGATCTGTGACGTAATATAGCAGTTTTAATTAACACAATGTTAATTTCCTTAAATATAGCGTTTTTGGGCTGCAATATTAGTTTTTAAAATAGCAAACTGTTTATGATATTAGTATTTATTATTTATAGCTTTTTAAAATTGTTATATATAGTATAACGATAACATTATTGGTTTTGCTATATTTGTCATTACAATGGCATTTTGAGTTATGTTGTTTTCATGTTTTCTTCCAGAACCTAATTTCTGTTTTTATAATATAAATATTTATTTTCAAAAGAAATTACTAAATTGATATATAAAATGGATTTCAACAGCAAAAACATATTAATGTAAAGACTAAAATTACAGATCAATGTTATTACTAGACCAAGTACTCAAAGATAGATCTTACCAAAAAAAAAAAAAGTACTCAAAGATAGACATAAGTTTAGTACTTAATAAAAGTATTCAAAACAAGGAACGAACCACCATTAAGGATTTTAGAGAAACACAAGTTTATCATTAGGCCAAACTACTGTAGTACTTATTGCGTCGGAAATGGTCTCAACTTCAGAATTTAGTCTCCATACTCTTGCATCCCCGACCTTTGATACTTCAACCCATACCTTGCTCGCATTGGGACCTAAAGAGACAAAGTGGACTGTATCAGATGGATTACTTGAACAAACCCTGCCTTCTGCAACTTTTACTCTAGAGTTATTGCAATCTATTTTTTTGTTTTGTTCAAAAAGTTATTGCAATCTATTATAATGCATTTTTTCTTAACAGACTTAGAGCTGCTACCTGTGGTGGTACTTAGGATCTATAAACAACGGAAAATTTAGAACAAATGCATTAAGGGGCATCACACATATTATATTGTTAAGAAACAGTGCTGAAACTTACCACAGGTGATGGTTTTTTAGGTGCTGATTCCTCTCTTGCAGATAAATTCACCAACTATACATTGTGAATAAGTCAGACGATATTATGTAGTGCTTTAGACATGATAGACATTTCGGTAGATGGTCTCCACAATTACGCATCTTTGTTAAGAACTTTCTCAACCTTCACAATTGCTGCATTTAGGCCAAGAGGAATATTGTTCACCAACGCCTTGGGTTCAGTCGAATACAATCGACCCTCAGCAATGATAGAGTCTCCCAAATACCAATCATAAATGTAGACCGTATCACGTAATACATATGCACCCTAAAGATAAAAGTATAAACAAAAAACAGTATATTAAAGGGAATTTATACTCATTATGGTAGATTCTTTTAGTACCTTGATCTCCTCCCTTGCCTCTAGTAAGCTGACCTTCTGCCAACCATTTGGCTTTTCTTCATCTGCCCAATTAATAAACCCATGAACAACGCCCCTGAAAAATCTTCTACGTGGATTCTCATTTGTCCATGACTTTGCAACCGTTGTTACTCTACCGCAATTGCAATGAGGACCCCAGCTCCGACTCGAATTCGCATCAAAACAAGAACTATGGCTCATCATCATTCTATCAATCTCCCCAGATCGTGAAGAATGAGCTTTAGGTTTCTTCTTCTATTCAAATAAATCGATTTGGGAGAGACGAAGGGCAACAGTGTCATTAGTTTAGGTTAATTAAACACGTGGGGTTAAATTCTAACCCGAGTAAGTCATTCCGTTAAGAGCTTAAACGGAGGTTAACCACGGAGTACTAAAGAGCCAACACAGATATATTTCAGGTATTTAAATGACACTCAAAATTAGACAAAGTATTAAAATTCCAAGCAAAAAAGACCAGGTATTAATCTTCCAAATAAAAATTAGATGTGGCATTTTTAGGCTTTTTTCCCCCAAGTTATGTGTACTTTTATTTCCAACTAGGACTCAACATCATTGTCTAGAATGATCTTATCTAAAAGCCATACAATTTTAACTCCCACAACTTCACCAAGTGAGGCAACTATTGTTGTAGGCCTCCAAACATAAGTTGATTCATTAAATACAGTCTTCACTAGGACAGCTGCAACATTAGGACCAAATGGTATACGACCAATCTTGTACATAGGGTCAGCTGAACAATATTCTCCTTCTCCAACAACAACATCATCCAGCTGGGAATACCAATCAAGTAGTTGACACCTAATTCCTTTCTTAACATCATTGGTTTCAAATCTAGAAGGCTCTTCACTCTGGTTCTAAGAAAAATATATTGATCTTGTAACTAAAATGTACAATCATCCTTTATTAAATAAAATCATGAGAAATTAACTAACCTTTTTGCTAGCTAATCCACTTACTACATTCTGCAAGTCTTCAAGTTTTATCTACAAATCTGCTTGTGTGGCTCCAAGCTTCTCCACATTTGAATCCCTACCTAACATAAATGCTAACTTACTGGCAGTAACCCCTCTGCCCATTCCCCTGAGTCTTCCAGGTTTGTCTTTTCCTAAAACTTGACTAACAACATCTACTTTCAGACTTGTTGTTGATGAGGAGGCCATTTCACTCTCAATTGATTTGATTTTTTCCTGGTACAATTTTGTCAGCACAATTATAGAAGTCACCAAAACAAAACCAACAAAATTATGAGTTCTTCTAATAGTCTCTGCAAATTCTGGCCTGACAGGTCTCCCATCTGCATATGTTTGTCGTGCTAGCCATACCTTGCTTCTGGACACTGTTTTAAGGTTAGCAGTCTTCTTTTTCTACAGATGAGACATATCAATATATAGTAGACAATCAAGTATTAATCTTATAATAACAAGTACTAGCTAGATATATACCAGCTCATGAGCTAGGCAAACCATCCATTTGCGGCTTGTAGTGTGTGGAATCTGAGCTTTCATCAATTTCTAGGCGAAACATCACTTCGTTCGTGAAAGTACCATCAAAGAGATTATGAATAATCTACTAGGAACAATCATTTATCATAATTAAGAAACTATTGTATTCCTACTCAAAATCTGTTGTATTCCTACTTTTCACCCAAGCATACCAAGCTGCCATAGATTCTATGTTGCTTGGGTTTAGCTTAACTAATTCTGTCTTACTCTTAATTGAACGCACACGAGAGATGAGCTTAGATTTAGACAACCTCCACAAAGAACTCATTTGTTTAAAAACAGCATCCTTTTGCCAATCTTCTTTCAAATTGAACCTCCCCTACAATAATGAATAATGTTAAAGACAAACTGTTATTAGTATAATATAAATCTAATATGAAATTATGCCTGAATCTCTTCCCATAGTGTGTCTCTAGTCTGATCAGGCAAGTGCCTCCAAACATCAAGCAAGACAGGTACATGTTCTCTTACAAGCGGCCCAAGGAAGGATGAAATTGTCACTGATTCATCACCTATATGTTCACCAATAGATGTAAATTCAACTTCTATCTCGTCATCATGGTGTTTTGAAATTTTACAGATTCTAGTTGGTCCTCGTGTTTTCCTTTGCTTGTTATCTGACTGTTGGGTGTGAATTTCTTTAGGGGAAGGAGGCAAAGTATCATCTACATCACACGGCTGAGAGATATCCTCTTCTCCATCTTTCTCTACAATTAGCTCTTCATTGCTAGGTTCTTTATTCTCTTCCTCATCTGAAGCCACTTCTTCATTGGTATTAAGTTGATCACGGTACTCTTTTGCAGCCATTTTTTCATTGGTACTAAGTTGAACAAGGCATTAACAAGTTCCTCCTCGTTAGCCAAGTCAGAACCAAGTACATCAGTAACATTCTCATGCTCTGGAATCTCAACCTGATTTTTCTTGTCTCTTATATGTTTCTTCAATCCTACTTCAGAACCCAGGTCAATGCCTAGTTGACGTTTCTTGCGACAAGGTTTGGTCCTCACTTTTAGTTGACATGTTGGATCACCTCAAACACAACCAAGTGTTAATAACAATCACAAAACACATAATTTTAAGAAATATCAGTTTCATTACTAGTAGCACTAACACATAAACTGTCACAAACCCACTATTAATCCATTAGTAAGACCCCTTCACAATCATTCCTAACACAGAAACTCTAATCATTAGAGGATTGATTGTCCAAATATTCAAGTTCTTGGATTGGTACTGATGCAGAAAAAAACTCTACTTCTGTCTTTAACTCGTGAAATTCTCTTGGTGGCGCCTTCATTACCATATACCAAGGGGAGGACTCATCTTCTCTTGAATAGAAAATATGCTCTCCTTGAGCTACTGGAATATAAGGATCTTGAAGGAATGCAAATTGGTTTAAATGGAGGTTCACAAGAGTGAATAAGTCTTCTTCTTTAACACCATTCCCTTTATTGGCCCACTTACACTTGAATATGGGAACTTGGAACATATGATAGTCCAATAGAAGGATCTCCTTTATCACTCCATAGTGTGTAACTATATCAGCCTTTTGTCTAGTATCCTTGGCACTGGATCTACACATACTAAAAGCTTCATATGTGACTCTACAATTTTGTCTTCCTTTTCATGTCGTCTGTGTGAAACCTATGTCCATTAATGACATAGCCCTTGTATGTCTGAGTAATATGCCGTCTGTGTGAAACCAAACGTGTCCAGCTTGCACCCGATTCAGCTCACTTAAGACCGACTTAGTATTTTGTCATTTTGTGTTTTAGGGTTTTGAGAACCCACTATAAGTAAGGACCATTGGTCATTAAGAACAAAAATAGAGTTTTCATTAGGGTTTTTCTTTGTAGCCAACAAACTTTCCAGAAACTTGTAATCTTATTATCTCTTGATCTATTGAGTTTTTGCTGTTGCTTATCTGTATTATCTTCCTCCTTAGAGTTTTCTGGGTTTATGCTTTTTACTATAATTTGTAGATCTAAGTAGTGTTCTTAGCTTTTAGGGATGATGTAGATCTGTGTTGAATCCTAGTCTATAGGGGGGTGTTTAGGGCTAGAATCTTGCAGATCCCTTCTGGATTAGTGAAGTTAATGCTGATTTCTTTATGATCAACTAGAATTAGATCTCAGGAACCTCATGCCCCAGAAGGTGTTTGATGAAATGCATGAACAACTAATGCGAGAGATTCATTTTCTTAGCCTTAGGGATAATGTTTCTAGGAGATGTTTTGACATGATTAAGATGTTTCATACTGCATATTCATTGCATGTTTCATCAGGGATATGAGATTAGGAAATGTAACGAGTTTGATAATCTTCACCAAGGGATTTGGCTGAGTAGGTTTAGAAGCTTAATGTTGAGCGATTAGCACTGCTTGTGTTTTGATTGAGCACCCCATAGAGATTAGGAGGATTCATAGATTGCTTACCTTATTCCCTGAAAGCTATTTATCTTTGATTGATTTCCATCTCATCTTCATTTTTGCTTTGCTTAGTTCTAGCATCTTAGTTTATCATTCTATCGTTTTTGTTCAGTAGTTCATCATCATGTAGCTTGTTCTTTATAGTTTGCTTTCTGGAAATTTTCACCCTTTAGATTCACTTATGTATTAGCATTGCTAGATTCATCTCTCTCACTCGTAAGGAGAATTTTGCTTTTGTTCTAGGATTTATGTTTTAGCTACCAAACTTTCCAGATAGTTGTAATTCAAGTATCTTCTAAGTTTTTAAGAATTTGCACTTGCTTCTTTGTTCAATATTGCCCTTTAAGAATTTGCACTTGCTTCTTTTCTCAATATTGCTACGTAACTATACAACCTTACTTAATTTAGCCAACACAGATAAAAAATTTTGCTAAATTAAATATTTTTGTTTGTTCACTAAAATAATTCAATAAACATAATATACACATATAAACTTATTAATAAGACTTTTTTATATAACTAAAATTATTCATTTCTTTTGACTGCATACATATTAATCATTGAACATTAGTATTTATAATAGTTTTCCCACAATATCTAAATAATCTGCTGACTTAATACATATAGATATGGTAAAGAGATGGTGAAATATTACAATATCATTTAAGTCTTATGCACCACCAGAAATTTTGTAAACTGAGACATCAAGAAAATTAGGATTAGATAAATATAATAATAATGAAACTTAAGAACACAAGTTTAAGAACACAAGGTACCATTCTCTCTCTCTCTCTCTCTCTCTCTCTCTCTCTCTCTCTCTCTCTCTCTCTCTCTCTCTCTCTCTCTCTCTCTCTCTCTCTCTCTCTCTCTCTCTCTCTCTCTCTCTCTCTCTCTCTCTCTCTCTCTCTCTCTCTCTCTCTCTCTCTCTCTTTTGTTTATAGGCA